CTCGAGTACCAGCTCCAAGTGAAGCTCCTCCGGTGCCTCTTTTTGCGGTCGTACGACCTCCCGCAGCTGTTTCCTTTTGACAAGTATGTGGAAGACGTACAAGACAGCCAGGTCGCGCACCTCGTGGAGATCGACATCTCGATGTGGATTGTCCTCATGGCCACGTACGCGCTCTTCTTCATCTTCAGCGGGGAATTGCTCTCAAACGGCGAGTTCAAGGCGATCACGCCAGTGCGGTGGTGGGTGTTTATCGGATTTGCAGTGTCCCTGTGGACTTTGATGATCCTGCTCTTGGTGTACTTGCGCAAGTTGGTTCAGCTGTTGCTGCAGCACGCGGCCAAGAAAGTCAACATCGTGCAGGACGGATCGACGTCGTGGATTCGCGAACATCGCAACATGGCGACTCCGGAAGCCATGGCCGAAGCGCTGAGCCACGTTGTGCAATACGAAGCAAGTTTGCCGCCGATGCCTCCGCAGGAAGCCATCGACAACATGCGACGGATCGCCGACGAGTTGAGCGACGATTCGCACGACGCACACTTTCTCGCTCACTTGTTTGCGCACGACTTGCTGTGTGGACTGCTTGGGACCGTGGGCCGACGGATGAAGCGCCGACGCAGTCCGTCCCCCACCACGCCCAAAGGCAAGCTGCATGGCGTGGGGTCGCTCCATTTGCCGTACTTTTCTCGAAAGCTCGTGCATGTCCTGATCCAGTTGCTGTTTGTCATGAACGGGTTCTACTACGCACTCTTTATCAATTGCGTGCTGTACTTGGACGGGTTCAACGGCATGGCAGTGATCAAGGCGGCGCTGGTCGTGATCCCATTGCTTCTCAACACGTTTGTGGTCGCCCCCAAGATCACACGGGAGTTTTCCATCATCAACAGCCTCTTCCGCGTCGACGCACACAAGCTGAGCGCGATCGTCGAGCATTTTGCCGAAGTCGAAGCCATGAAGGACGACATGGCTCGCCAAGTGTTGGACCACTTGCACCACACGCACCAAACGCTCGCCGACCTCGCGGCGGCGCTCGCAAACGCAGACGCGACCGACGACGATGCAGGCGACGGGTACATTGAGATGGAAGTGCTGCGCGGCATCTTGAAACAGTTTGGGTTTCGCTTCCAACGCCAAAAGTTCACGACCCTCGTGCGCCTCGAATTTGCCTCGAAAGGCACGACGATTCGATACCAGGACCTCCTCACGCTCTTGGGAGACACCGAAGTGAGCATGCGGCAGCAGTCACGCCAAGTTCCAACATTAATGTCGTTCCAGTCGTTCCAACTCCCGTCGCAACCTGCACCCGAACAGGGTCAACCAGGCCACCCCGTTCCCCCGACCACCGTCCGTGAAGCCGCGTTTTTCGTTTAAATTCTTGGCGAACGATGGCCCTTTCGATGCGTTGGTTTGTCAAGTAGTACCGTGATGCAATCGAATACCTCTGGCGCGCTTGCTGCAACAGATTCGCACGGTGCAGTGTTTGAGCGGACGAGCGACTGGACAGCACGGCATGGTACGTGTGTGCTCCACCTTCACATTTGTACCGACCCTCGAACACGCATGGACAGTGCGCAGGCAGTCGCACACGTATCGTGGAGATGTTGCAGGGACTCCACAATTTGCATCCCTGGCACGACACACGCTGACACATTGAACCCTCTCGTCATGTGGGCCATGTTAGCTCGACAATGGCCGCCATCCATGGTCACGTTGGTAGAGCCTCCACGTAGTCGCCGACGATGCTTGCAACAAGAAATGTGTTGATATGACGGTCTAACGTGTGGCTCTCAGTCGATCGGCGAGCGGTGCCACTCGCCATCCACGTAGTTCAACTCGCTCGTGGGCCAGAACGTCGGTTCCAGCTTCACAGTCGTGAGGTGGACTTTGCCGGTCAAGTCCATGTACTTGACTCGAATCGACGCGTTCGTTTTTGGCTGGCGCTTCAACGCCGCGACAAAGTCGTCCAAATGACGAATCGGTTCGCCGTTGATTTCACAAATGCGAGACGTCGGAGGCGGTCCGTACCGCGCGGCGGGCGATCCAGCGTATCTACCCATCTTATGAGCCCATGGCAACTCCACGCAGCAATGCACTGCCATGGCAACAGAAATTTATTGGGATGCAGGATCGACGTACCTGCAAGACACGTACACGCCATCTTTCGACGAGATTTCCCTCTGCGACGCAACCGAGAGCGGTGGAACTTGCAACAACAGTCCCTGCCAGCACACGATTCGGTCGACTTCCCAGCTTTCGAGAAGCACCGTCTTCAGCGTCACGTCAAGTTGCTTTCCTTGGCGGATCACTGTGGCCACGACCGATGGCTTTTGAGTTGCAACCTTCGGACGACACACACACGTCAGCATCTCGGCCACCACCACATCTCGACGCACCTCGACTTCCCGGAACGACGTGACGATGGCGTCGTCAATTTTGACTACCAAGTCACCATTCCGAAGTTGAGACTGAGCGTCAGTGCCGCCCCAACGCCGCCCGACCGACAAAATCGTGCGGCGCTCGGGGGCATGCATCTCCAACGCATGGGCGAGAGCGGCATCCATGCCCAACTCCCGTCCCTTGGCCAAACTAATGTGCTCAAAGTCGACGCCGAGATCGTACAAGTGGGGCGTCGGCGCGCCTTGTACCAACGGATCGACGCTGTCCATGATAATGTCCATGGGAATTCCACGTGTAAACTGCGATTCGACTTTGGCATTGCTACAAATGGGCCGCGTCAGCCATGGGTAAGACGCCAGGCATACCCGCGCTGTTGCTGGAACGAAAACGACGCCCAGAACGCCGCGACGCTCCCGTCTGGGGTGCACACAGCACCTCCTTCAGTTGTTACAACGTCCTGCAGCTGCACCATTTCCAAATTGTGCTCTTGGTAGCGCGGTGGGGTCGGCATCGGCAGCGAAATCCACTTGACACTCGATACCAACGTCTCGCGGGACACGAGCTCTGCCCAGCTGTTGCGTCCGACCTAACGCGAACAAAGGAGACGGCGTGGGCACTGCGAATGCTGGCAGTACGTACACCGCTCATGAGCCCCACAAGCCACACCGGATCGGATGGTTGGAGCGGTGCGCGCGACACTTTGGCGCTTTGAATGGGAGTCTTGCCAATCAAAGCTGGATCGTACTGGACAATGGCAAAGTTGTGCACGGGATGGACAAAGCGGACGGTCGCGGGCACGACGAGCGTGTTGGCAAACGTCACAGTGACATCGCCGAGCCGATCCGTGACCGTGTTGCGATCGACAACCACGAATCCTTGCGAGGCGTCGACAACCAACCCCTACACGCGTTCGAATGAATCGTTGGAATTCGCGATGGCAAGTCGTTTGCAGTACCGTGCCACGGTAGTTGGACATGTTTTGGCTATTGATACTAAATGGCCGATCGTACTCGACTGTCACAAGCGACGGCGCCAGCGCGCCTTCGATGAAATTCTTGCCAGGAAGAATTGATGTCGAGCCAAGAGGTTGGCTGGGCGACGGCGATTTGGCTGTCGCGGCGCCGTTCGACCCGTTCAAGTTGACACACGTCCACGTGCCAGTCAAGTCGTCCCGCGTGTACTCTTGAAAGGGGAACCATCGCTTGTCGATATGCACGACCTCGACTTTTTCCACTTTGGTCGCCACGTTTATGTACTTGACGACGACTTTTTCCTGGTCCGCACACTGTTGCAACACACACTTGAGCGATTCCAGGTCTGGGGTGTTGATGCCATTCACAGACAGCACCAACGACCCCTTCGGAATGCGCGACCGCTGGAGAAAATAACCTATTCGGAACCACCACTGTCAGTGTGCACGCATCGACATGTTTATGACTTGACCAATGTACCTGGGTCAGCGACGTAAGGCGCGTTGGGTTTCAATGCATGGTTTCGCGCTTGCTGGAACGACAGCGGGTTCAAAACCGCGCCACCCACGTCCAAGAAGCGCGATGGTGTGATCGCGTGCAAGTCTTGGACTTGGACATCGACCGAAACCAATTTCCCCGCACGATCCAACTCCAATCGCACCTGTGTGTACAATAAATACGCTGTGTGGGCAAACGACGTGAAAGCGAGTTTTGCCAACGCAGCAACACGTGCACCCCACGATCGAAAACGCGCCTTGTTTGCCACGGCAGCGCGCTGCCCACACCCAGATATCGAAGGAGGGACTCACCGACTGACCAACTGAATCGTCCAGTGCCGCTTCAACCGGCACAAACTGGTGAACAGGTTGACCGTTGACTCGCAAGAGAACGTCGCCAGGGTGGATGGTAGTGGCGCATGGGCTGCTTGGCAGCACTTCTGCGACCACGAGCAGACCATTGGCGGCCGGGAATGTGCGGCGCAGGGATGCTTCCGTGTCAGCAGGGAGGCCCAGCCGGCGCACTTCGTCGAACGGCTAGTACCATCCATAGTATTGACCTCGACCACGGAATTCAATGTAATCTACATACCTTGTGGACAAATACCGTTTGGATTGTACCCCGAGGTACGACAGCGGACGGGTCGCGCTGCAGCCGTTCCAGCACGCGCTTGACGCGGTCAAGAGGCAGGTAGTACGATGCACTTGTGCCCATTTTTCCTCCAGCATTCAAAGCAATGACTTGGCCGTCCTGGTTCAACACGGGGGACCCGGAACTCCCGCCAGACGTCCCCGACGACGCTTGAAAGTAAAACGTGTTGAAATCGTTGTACGTATTGAAGCCATACGCCGGGCAATCGCGGTCCAGCCGCGCCAACGTGCCACTGGCAATCGCTAGCTTCTCCGCTGCATCGTTCCCGACGACACGAATGTCCGTGCCAACAATGGCTTTTTCCGGATGGAGCGGCAACGACGGCACGTTCAAGTGGCGCACGTGCTACGGAAACACGACCATGGCCCGTCGAGACAAGATCAAAAAGCAGCAAAAAGCAGCACGTGCTATCATGCAGTGGAAGAAGCAACATGCGCAGCGTTGCAAAATACCCGCGCGACACTGCACAGCAACATGGCTGCCATGTGAGCACACTCGCAAGCTAGAATGCCACACGCAGCACCCTTGGCGCGATCAATAGAGAGCACAACGACTCGAAATATGCACACAAATTGAGTTTCAAAAACGTCATGAATCTCACACAAATCCACACCACGAGGATCGATGGAGTACACACACAATCCGACATCTCAGCCACAGCACAGGGGAAAGTGGCCAAAACGTTGTACCGATGGATCATAGCGGAAAAAGCCAAAGTCATGAACTGGGTCACGGTAGATTGGCGTGACGCGAACTTCTTCGTTGTTTTGAAAGATGGCTTCGGCGTCCTAATGCAAGGAACAACGGATCACCATCACCAGGTATTGCAGAAACAGTGATGGCAACGCACAATGGGCCCGGCGCCGACGACATGGCGGTTCGTGAGAATGATTCCTTTCTCTGCATCGACAACAAAGCCCGTAGCCCATCCATTTCCTGGGCTTTCTGTATCAAACGACTACATGATGCGTACACAAGAGATGAGATAGAGTCTCCGTCGGCATGAATCCTGCAGTGTGCCGAGCGTCGGGCGAGTATGTACCTTAGGAGAATTTAGCTTCAGCGAGACTGGAGACAGTAGATCGATTAGTGACGTCTCCGTGGAGGGTGGCGATTCATGGGACGACGCACCGATAGCAGGGACAACATGGTCCAGTGTGTGCTTCCACGTTGCATCACGCTGCGGGAAAGCCGCAGCAACCGCTGAGGAAGACGGCGGAGTGGGCACAGTGGGGATCTTTGAGGTATATGCTTGTTGACCATCACGTTGTGGGACTACGCGAAGGCCCACGCCGAGGAGTACGCTCCCTCCAATGATCCCCAATGCAACTTTCCCCCATGGACTGGCCTCAGACGTAGCATCATGTAGCTGCTGAAGGTTACTGTGGAGAGGCTTGGAGTTTGTCGCAAAGGCCGCTCGTCGCCGCAAGTAGGTCCATTTTCCCACGGAAACACGTCGCGCCGCCAGCATCGTCTGGCCGCAGTTCTGTCCTTTCTGCACTACTTGACACGATTTGATTGGTGATATTTTCCTGGATTTTAGCCAGTAATTAACATTCATTGAATCGTGGGGTTACGTTTGGAAGGTTGTCGAGGGATGAATGCAACCTCGCTTTACGACACAAAACGTCGTAAAATCCGGGGAATTTCGAATTTGTCGTGGATTCTTCACAGCAGTTGTCGTTAAATCCAGGCACAAATCCACGCCCCGCCGTGCCATGACAAACGCAAATGTCATCAAACCCAGGGAAAAGTTGAACAACACTTCGACGTCATCACTTTAGTACTTCTTAACATAATATTAGTATTACTAGATTCGATTGATCCGAAACGGCAGATCTTCGCATGCTGAAAAGGGTCGGACGTGGACAATGAAGGCAAGCGAAGAGATCGACCGTGTCTTCTTGGACAAGAAGTTCAGCGCGACAAAGTACATGCTGCGCTACATAGTTGGTGCGTCGGACGACGTGAGGAAGGACCAACTGCAGACGATCGGTCGGTATCGGTCGCTAGCGGATCACGAGATCGCAGGGGTCGTCGAGGCCAACTACTCCAACTTCAACGCGTCGTTGGGAAAGTTTAATGTGATTTCGAACCAGCTTCAGGGTATGCACCATCGACATGGATGTTTTCTGTACATATCTCGATGACCACGGTACAGAGGCGCGGGCGGGTCTTGTCGAAGTGAGCAAGCGCAGCATGGAAGGCAAGGCGATATTGACCGCCAAGACCAAGAACTTGAACGACTTGCTTCTTCTCAAGTACGAATCGAAGAAGGTGATTGAAGTCGTTGACGACATCGACTTCATCGACAAAGCGCCGAGTCGAATTCGTCAAATGCTTGCTGCCAAGAACGCGCCGGCGGCCGTAGACATTTACTTGCGCGCTTTTGACTTGGTCTTGGGGGACAAGCTCGCTGTCTTCCACGCAATCGCCATCATGCGCAACGCCATCATCGAATGCAAGCAACTCATCGAGGATCACGTCGTACACGAGATCGAATCCATCCTTTACCTTGAGGCACGTTGCTTCGCCATGCGCAACGTCCATCTGTGTTCGTTCCCGACGTGTTTGTGGTTGCAGGACGTGTTTGGAACCTTTACAAAAGGACTCAAGCAAACTGTGTCTGCGTTTCAATCACTTTTGGCTCAAGCAGACATGGTGCCTTCCGTCCATGTGCTGCCTTCAAGCGGTACCTCGTCCGCCCCATCCAACGCCATCATGCCCTCGACGTAATTCCCACATCCTTGCAACGGCAAGTTGCTGACTGTATCACTAGAAGCTCTTTCTCTGGCAACGCGCCGTCCAAGCCGCGTGCTACGACCGAGTTGATAGCCCTCGTGGATTGTGTCAAGCGGTAACGAGGTGCATATGAGGTGTCTGCCAGTGCTGGACGGTGCAACGCGCGACGGAGCTCGCTTTGACGTGGGATTTTACTTGCCGTTGTGTTTGCATCACGAGTTGGTTTGCGCATGGAGGGTAATGACGTTCACATAGGCTGTCACGGCAAGTGGATGTTGCTGGCACGATCAAGAACACTCGCGGGGTGCACCTGACCAAGGTTTTGTCCCAAGTTGCGTCGCTCTGTCAGGGCAAGGGATACTACGAAGAGTCAACGTTCGGGCGTCATGCAGCGTCGGCGAACTTTCAGACTTTTGTCCAGGCGCTGTGTCAAGCCCTTGGTCAAGTCGTGCGCCGTCATCAGGTGCTCGTACAAACGCTGGACCATTCAAGCTGCACCCTTCCGGACGTGATCCAGAGCGTGTTTCGATTGCTCCAGGTGAAGTCAAGCACCATTCTTTTCGGGCATTCCTTCACCCGCAACGAGTAGGACCAGCTGGGAGTGTACATTACGACGGACGCCACGAGCGGTGCAGCACCCGCGTTTTCGGCGTCGGCATTGCAACCCAACTCGTCGACGGGACTGTTTCGATTTGCCCAGCTGCAAGGAAATGTTGCGATCGCGCCGCCGCAGCCTGCAACAATGCCGGTCGACTCGAACCGCGCCTCTGTTGTTTGTCCATCGAGCTTGTTTCACGTCCCAGTGGTGTACCCCGACCTGGTCGAGTTTTCCGACGCGATCGTGTCGATCGGCAAGTCGACGTTTTCATACGCGGCCGACATGTTGCACCCGTACTTGGCCAAAGTTTGGTTTCCTCGCCTCAAAAGTGAAGCCGAGGTAGAGTCGCATCAGCACGTTGTTCAGCAACTTATTTTAGTTGCAGACCTTTCTCTCCAGTCCCACGACTCGTGTGCCTCGTCGATTCGAGTTGTCCCCTCCGTTGGTACGTTGGTGGCATCGCTGAATACGTCCACCAATTCTGCACATTTGCGTGGCTCACACAAAATTGGACTTACATATTCGTGCTAGGATGTGCCTTTTCAGATCCCAGACGTCCACGAGGTGCTGCACGTCGTGGACGCGATGTTTGCCATGCTCGAAACCATGCCATCCTTCGTTCCCGACGTTGCTGGAGTCGTCGAAGCAACGTTACTGCGCTACGTTGAGGAGTGCTCTGCCGTCGTCCGGTTCGTTGCCACGATGTTTGGGCAAAACTGCGCACTACTACTCACGATGGTGCATCCCGCAGGAAAATCTGCGATGGCACGTTGAATCAGCTCGAAACGGGTGTCGCCGCGACGGAACTCATGCGATCGTTTCAAGAATCGGACGTGTACTTGACGGCCAAGGGCAAGGTGCCACATCAGCCTCTCGCGAAAGTTCTGCCCACGTCGTCCACCACTTCGTCGGAAAACGACAAGTCTTCGACCTTGACTGCGCCGTCTGGCCACAACTATGGCTACAGCTATGCGCTGCCGACACCGATCTTGACAACGCCACCTTCGTCGGTAATTTGTTGTTATGGCCGCCGGCACTTGAGTTTGTCGTCGACATGTACATGACGTCGACGACCCGTTCATGTCTTGAAGGACATTCCCTCGATCGAATCGACATTATCATCACGGCGATGAATGGACTGCGTAGGGCAGCCCATCGGAAGGCCCGCCAGCGATGTCCAAGAAGGAAGAGATGCAAATGAAAGAATGGGACTTTGAAGTCAAATTCAAGGACCCCGCGTTTTGGGCGGCGCCCCACGTGAGCAAGGGCCTGCTGTTCGACCAAGGCAAACTCGCCATGCTTGCGTACATCAACATGGCTTGCGATGCTGTGTCTCTGCATACTGAAACGTGCATGCAAGCGCTTTTAGCCAAACACAACGACGCAGATGCATTGGAGGTACTTCCCGATCGGTTCTCGGAACCCTCATGGCGCGTTTGCAGCACGTGCTGGGGAACGTGAAGGCTGTGAGTTGGCGATGCAGCGGACTCGCCGATGAATGTCTCTTCTTTTTGCGGCGGGAGCTCCGATTGCAAGCGTTTTATTATCTCACTCAAGTCGCCTCGCCGCTGGTGGCGCAGGCGTCCGCTCCACCATCGATAGCTTCGCCGACAGCACAGGCTACTGGCACCACTGCGCCACCGCCAATCAGTCCCCACGACTGCATCGTTGCGTGGAATGCGCATCTCATGCGCATGAAGTTGCCGCTGGCACATGACAAGATCGCGTTTGTGTGGGATGGTTTGGACCGACTCGAAGCGACGATTGCCATGCACATTGTGCAATACGTACCGAAGCTGAGCGTTGCGGGCGTCGGCCAAATGACAGTCAACTTATGTGCCTTGCAGCAGACCTTGACCGCGCTCTTCTACGGCCATCCTGCCATCCCCCGCGACTTTTTCCACTTTGAGCGTGCAAAACGGTACAATCGCGTCTATCCCTTCCATGCGTGATATTGACCGGGGTACTGCTGAACGGCTAGGTATTTTCAGCTGCTGACGCTGACGGAGACCGAGTTGGAACTGTTCTTGATGGAGAACCGCCGCGCCTTCCCGACCGATTGCCTTCGGGCCATTTGGCGCGTCGATGTACCCACCCGAGTCTTGACCAAGTCGAGTGTGAACAAACTCGATAGTCTCTTGCGTTAAAATGCATCCAGCAGTGATGGATCGTGTCGACTTCTACCTCGACTGTGGCCCCATCAAACGCGATTTGGTTGTGCTTGTCGCATCGTTTATGGCTACGTGGCCCTGCGAGCTAGGGGTGGTCGGGTCGAGCCACGATCGCGATGCTACGGATGCAAAACGAGGCTCGTATTCAACTACAGACTACCCCTCAGTGCAGGGAACGCAACGACGCGTCAAGCGGCTTGACACAACGAATCCGTCACGATTAAATGATGGTTGTGTACCCGTCGTCCTGTCGGGCGGCATTGCATGACAACCCAATGAGAAACAACGACAGGGTCGCGAGAACGACGCCCCCAAACCCGACTTGGGTCCCGAATCCCTTCCACGACACGAGCGCCGCTTTGCGGCATTGCGTGTACGGTGAGCCCTCTTCGGGTCCAGACGTAGGGTTGTCCTGGGTCAAGACGAACTTGCCACACCATTGTGCCGTCGCGCGAGTCAACGGACACTTGGCGTCGATCCAGTCAAAGAGCCCACGGAAGTCGCCCACCGTCGCATTGACTTGTTTGCACATCGCACACGCCTTCTTGAATGGTTTGGGCACGACTTTGGCCAGGGACGGCACTGACTCGAGTTTTGCATCCACTTGGTCGCACAGACCAAGAAGACCCGTCTTGGCATCCACGTCAATGCCCACGGCCTTGAACGGCGCCGCGGCGCCGCCCCCCACGGAGGGAAAAAATGTTTCGATGGCGTCGGACACGGAAGTCGTGATACAGAACCGCCCCCCTTCGGCGTAACAATACGCTTGGTTGAATCGCTCGGCAACCCTTTGTTCTGCACGTTCAGCGGGGTATCGTTTGCTCGTCCACGAGTGAGCTTTGGACGCGGACATGAAACCAAGAACGGCAACTGCGACAAACACAACCAACCCCAGCACGACGAATATTGAGTATAACGTGAGGACGCATCGGTTTTGGCACACAGCACCGAAAAGACCAAAGAGCGCAATAACGATTACGGTCGCTCCAAGCGCAATGAGGTCCGTGGCCGAGGTGCTAATGTCTGCGGGGGCTCCACTGTAGAAGATTTCACTCCAGTGAATGTCGCGCGTCTTGATTCCCAACCAAATCAAAAGCCCTCCCCCCCCGATAAATGCAAAGTTGGTCAGGATGAGCACGACCTTGGCAACAGCATGCATGTGCATTGAGCGCCGCGTTCGTCGGAAAAAGCGAAAATGGCAATTGAAATTGCGACCGTTGGGAATGAGTCGGAAAGTGTTGAAGCTTCACTTTGACTGCACTAGAACAACATAAAGGCTTGTTTGTCCACTCCAAAATATAAAGCACTTTGGCGCAGAGGAAGCGTGTTGGGCTCATAACCCAAAGGCCCTTGGATCGAAACCAAGAAGTGCTAACTTTTTTCCACCTTTTTCCTGACGACCATCCAGCATGGCACAACTCTGCGTGGCTCCATTGATGAGGCTGGGCAAGCGACAAATTTTCTTGGATTTCATGGGGCTTCCTTCGAGAGAGATTTATCATGCAACGCGGCACGAGCCACCATCAGCCCTTTGGCGTCAGTCGAAC